GAATCAAATAGAATCGCAGGAAATCATATGGGATTCAGAACACTATTAAAAATGATAATTGAATATACTTCATCTATTAAATTTAATATAAACTTAAGAATTGAATACAAAATCAAAGAGAATCATTAGAATTCTTACTTATTAATAAAAAGTTCAAGAATATTGCAAAATATCAAAAGAAATTGATCAATATAGTTAAAGAATTAAGAATCCATTTGATTAAAGAAAGTAAAACTTATTTAGAAAATAATAATAAAAAAAGAATAAATGTATATAACTATAGTTAATATTTTGATAAGATATTTTTAATAAATGATTTTATGCCAAACAATTAATTTATTACTAATTATTTTATAGTTGAAAAATTTATTAGAAAATTTAGATAAATATTCAAAGTTAATTCAACTATTTCAACTGACTTGTAAACAAAACTATAGCAAATCTTATTGTTACAATATAACTCTGTCAGAAAACTTGCTGAGTTGAGTTTATAAATCAAAGAATAAAGAGCAAAAAATAAAACAAAATAAAAAGATAAATAATTGATAAAAAAACATAAAAAATGAAGGATTTCAGATTATAAGAAATTACTTATATATTCAGAAGAAAAGAAGTATTAAACTGAAGAAAGTGTACAAATAGATAAAATTCAAGAAACAATATTAAAGAAAAAAATTAAAGAAAAATCATAAGAAATACAAAAAGTATAAAAAATACAAAAAAGTATTTCAAAATAAAGAAAATTTAGTATTATAAAATCTTTAAGAGTTACAAGAACCATGGCAAAATTAACAAAAGAAAAAAACAATTATGAACAAAAAGATTCAAATAAGGAAACAAAGGAAAAATTTAATAAATAATAAAAGAAAAATTAGTAAATAATGGATGAAAAATTAGTAAATAATGAATGAAAAATTAATGAATTATAAGTAAACAATTACTTAATAATTAATTAATAAGTAATTAGTAAATAATTAGTGAAAAATAAGCAAATAATTAATTAATAAGTAATTAGTAAATAATTAGTGAAATATAAGCAAATAATTAATGAATAATTAGCAAAAGATTATTTCAAATTATATACTTTTTATATAATATTTTTAATAAATTTATCAAGTATTAATTAAATTTTATTAAATATTATTATAAATATGATTTTTTTTATTAAAATACAAGTATATAATTTGATTTTATTGAAGTATATAATGTTAAATAATTTTGTTAACTTTATAGTTAAATAATAAAAATTTATTTTGAATGTTATAATTTTTATTACAGAATATTATAATTTTATTGCTGAATATTTTTTAACTAAAAATATTTTATTATCAAATAATTTTATTGTCCAATGATTTTATTACCAAATAATTATTTTTTGTCAAATATTATATATATTTTTTGCTAAATTATTATGTATTTTTTAAGTACTAAATAACAAAACTTCAGTATAAACTTTTATTAATAAATTTGAATTTAATTAACTGTAATTTGGCAACCAAATAATCTAATTTGAACTAGTGTAATTTATATATATTGTTGTAGGAAAAATAATAGATAGATAATAGAAATTATAAGAGTAAATATATTAGATATAAATAGTATATTAGATATAAATAATATATCAAGTATAATAGATATAATAGGTATAAAGTAAAAATGTATATAAATAACTTGAGAATAATCAAAAAGTAGTGAAAATCAAGATAGGTACTGCATAACTATTAAATAAAAACTATTGCTTTATAATTAATCTCAGTGTTATATAGCCAATAGAATTGCTGCATGTGAAGTAACCAGTTAGGATACAAGATTGATAAATTGATCTGTATTAATATTACAAACTCCAATCAAATTTATATGTTTCTTTTGAGCAGAAACTGCACTAATTATTATATAGAATGAGACAGATCGAAATAACTAACTTGTTATAATTTTATTACAATAATGTATATATATTTGTAATATATAGTATATTTATTTTAATGTTTATTTTAATTTGTTTAAAATTTCAAATAATTATTTATATAAAATAAATAAACTAAACTTGAATTTTTTTTAAAAAATTTAATTTATAAAATAAAAAATTTTAATATTTTTTTTAAATTATTATATATTTAAAAGGATATCAATTTAATATTAATTTAATTATAAAAATTATAAGAATATTAGTTTTATAAGATTTTATTATAAATTATAAATAAAACTTATTTTTTTTTTGTTTTTTTTAACAAAAATTTTAATTCAATATTTTTAAATTAATTTTATATTTAATTATTTGTAAAATAAATAAAAAAGTTAATAGTATTATTTATATTGTATATATTTGATTTTGATTTTTTTAATATATACAGTATATATATTAATTAAACAATTATAAAATATTTTTTTAAAAAAAATTTTATATTTATTATTTTATTTTATATATTATATATTAAAATAATAAATTAAATAATATAAATATTTTTATATAATTATAAAATATAAAGTTTAAATATTAATTTATAGTAATATAAATTTTAATTAAATCTTTATATTATAATAAATTATAATTTAAAATACAAATAATAAATTATAAAAATATTAATTTTTATTATATTAATTTTTAAATTTTATATTATAGTAACAATAATAAAAACAAATTAAACAATATATGCAATATATATATAGTATATATATTATAAATAAAATAAATTACAATAATATATTATATATTATATAATTAAAATTTATTTTGTTTATAAAAATTTTATTATATTTATTTTGTTTATAAAAGAATTTATTATAATTATTTTACTTATTTTATCTATTTAAATATTTGATTTTTTAACTTATTTTTATTATTTAATTTATTTTTATTGTTAATTTATTTTTATTATAATGTTTAATATAATATCATATAATATATTATTTTGTTTTTTCATAATATAATATATAAATAAATAATAATTATTATTTATTTATTTAAAATTTTTTTTCAACGATTAATATACTGTATATATAATTGTACTATTATTATATAATAGAAAATATAATTAACGTATGTTTAACTTATGGTAATCACTTTATCTGTTTTAAAATTCACGTAAAAAAATATTTCATACAATATTATTATTATGTTAATAAGTTTTCAAAGTATTTTAAGTATTCTTAAAAGATTTACAAAGTAAATAATCTTTGAAAAAAATTTAATAAAAATTTGTAAAAAAGAATATATTGTAATTATTATATAAAATCTATAATATATTAATTTTGAATTTTTTCATATTATACCATACAGTACCTTTAAATAGCTTATCAAATCAATATACAAAACTTAAACAAGCAAAACTTAAACAAGCAAAACATCGAATTAATTAAGTGATAAATAAAAAAATTTTTTAATTTACAAAAATAAAACAAAGTAATCTCGATTTGCCTTTATTATCAACTGACACTCTCCTGAGATCAAAAATCTAGTGAATCAATGACTTACTCCACTGTTGTACTTACGATTTATTAATAAAGCACAACATACAAACATTATCTAATACCGTATCTCCTGAATTATTATTACTTATTTTGAAATGTATCTATTTATTGTAAAAATGCTGGGAATCTGGAAAGTTCAAAGTACCAGGCGCATGGCTATACCATCGCATCGCATCGAAGGCAATTCTCAAAGCAAACGACTTATTTTCAATGTTTCGGAAAACAAGTTTCGGTAAAATGCTGTTTAATTCGGATAATTCAGATATGTTTTATCCGGATACATCGAGAATTTAACTGGTTAATTCAGAAATGCAGAATATATAAATACTGTATGTACACATCTAACCAAATCACCAAAACTGATTACTTTTGAATTTATGGTTCTCCGAAAGGTCCTCCGCTGATATGATGTCATAGAGAATCCGATATTGTGAAACACAATACAGGTTTAGAGTGCGTAAATATAAAATAGGCTATAATTTTTCTATTTGAGGAAAGTTTCTATTCCTTTCATATAAGGAGCTATTTTCAACGTTTAAAACAACTTTTTATAAACATCAAGGTTGAACTTATTCTATAGGTACAGTTCTGCTTTTTGTTCTCTTTTCGATTCACGAAGACTCACGTTCATAAATTCCGAAAACGGAAAAAAATCTCGATGTATATACAGGTATTTCTATTGATTTGTAAGAGAAAATATCCATCAGTTTTATTGTGCTTTCGTTAGAGATTATGTAAATGAATCAGAAAGAATCAATGAATCTTAATTATCTGTCCCTTGTAACCAATGATTACAGGTTGCAATTAGATCCAGAATTTTTTAAATATAAAAAAATTTTTTTTTTTTTGGTGACAACAGACTTTAGACGTCAAAAAAGCTGATATTATATCAAATATAATATTTAATAAACAATCAGAATCGGAATTAACTTGTTTGACCTTCAAGAATTGTTGACATTCGTACCCCGTCTTTCTTCTAAAGACTACTATTTTTTGGCCACAAGTCAAATGATTCAAGAATATCAGAAAAAAAATGGAGGGCTAATTTCAGCGAATTCATCTCTACCAATGACAACCAGTCTACCGAATGAACTTTTGATCAATATTTTAAGAATATTTCTTAATGATACAAGGTTTGCCGTGGTTTAATAAAGAAAAATGATGTTTTTACATTGTTCTTCAAAAACTTTTGATGAAATATCCCTTTCCTAAATTTTAAGATGACTTATTAAAAACAAACTATTCTTCAAATAAATAATCAATATTTTCATATAGTTATCAAGAATTGTTTGGACTGAGAAGAATTTGTAAAAAGTGGAGGAAGCTTGTCTCGGTCGTTATTAACGATGAATTTGTTCGAAGCTATGTCCTTAAATTAAGCATAAAAGTACGACTGATTTTCTAAGTTCTAAGGATTCGATCTCTACCAGTATAATATATATTAATACTTCATATTCTTTCTTTCTTTCTCTTTTTATCTGCCATTCATTACTCGTGAATTTTGTTTTCAAATTACTTTCATTTAGAACGAAATGTATTCTCCTATACACGAAGGAACCTCCTTAATACTAGGTCAAATAAAATTTTGTGATCTCTCTCTTTACACTATTCCTCCGGTCCAATCTTCTTGTCAGTCTCCTCAATTATCCTCAGAACCATATGTTCAAATTCAAAATATTCCGCATCATTCCTTTTATTATGATAAATTTGCATGTTATCATGCAACATTGTCAGGTTATAGTTCACCATATTGGTTAGACGAAGCTATTATCCACGATTTTTTCGTAAGAGTTAATATGGAATGCAATGGGCTAAAAGAATTTCATCATGGTAATGAAATAACCTACATAGTACAGCTACAACATGATAGTTCACGAGGGGTCTTTAGATTGATGGAAATCAGGATTAAGGCATCGGTATTCTTAGGTAGAATCGATTGGATCAGGAGAAATGAGGATATAATTCTTTTTTTAGAACGGTTGTCATCATATCTTGATGATTAAAGTCATCATTTTTTTTCTATTCCTTCTAACGGTCATTATTTATTATAAATTGTGGAAATAAATATTTTCAGTGAAAAGAACTTTTTTACTCGAATTTTTCTACTGGATGACAGGTTAGATGTTGTCGAACGCGTCTATGACATTTCTAACATCACATTAAGATAATTCATTGATAGTAGCAAGTGAACTCCAGATATGCAAATGAGAGAGAAACTCTTTGCTACTTTAACCTTAAGTTTTAAAAACATCATACCAAAAATGCAATCCAGATTGAAGATTAAAGGTAAGGTGTATAAATGATAATCAGTTTGTAACACGTAGGATTCAACGCAGTTATAATTCAAATGTGTATCTGCCAGATGAAACAGTTTGAAAATACAATCCGTATTTCTCAATCAAATACACGTTTTTGAATAATTTGTCTTACATGCAACCTTGCTAACATAAGTTAAGTATCAAGCATATAGATTTTATTTTATAAATTCCTATATCCAAAATTTCTTTTGTTTTTGAAAATTATAATCTTTACAATTCTTGAAATAATTTTGGCTTCTCAAAATAGTACTCTGCAGAATCTTCTGATAAACAGGCAATATTTTAAATTTACGTGATTTAAAAGTTAGCTATGGGATTTCATCTTCTATATAGGTTTCTCCTAGCATGCGAATATACTTACTTGATATCAATTCATATATTTAGAAAAGTTAATAATAAATATTATAGCAATGAACTTGCATATAATATGCATATATATGATCTTATATTTTAATTATAAGACTATATACTGTGTAATATAATTATTTAAAGATTTTTAATTACCAAATTCTTTAAAAGTTCATACAGTATATCTAAGATTCAATTAGTTTACTGTTTTAAATATTAATATATTAAAAAAATTGTTTTATATTAATTATATTAAATAATTTATTTGATCGAAATATTTACTAGTTTTTAAAATTAAATATGAGTTTGTTTTAAATAAATTCTAATTAACATATTGTTATAGAATAATTAAATTCCATAAATTTATATTATTCTTCTTATTTTCTTTTCTTGTGATATTATTTTACTGTTATTTATGAAATCAATATTAAAAATATCAATTATAAAATAAAATAATATTACAAAATAAAATAGTTGTATATTGGAAATTATATAATTATATTATTTGCTTATAAATTTAAAAAAAATCTTTAAATATTTATAAAAATAAATAACAGATAGAATTTAAAACAAAATATCTTAATATTTAATTAATAAAATATTAAAATTATTTTGTTAAATTAATTTTATCAGTTAAAAATAAATAACTTAAAATTACCAAAATTAATTACTTAATATAATTTTTAATAATTTAAAATTTTTTATTTTAAATAAAATAAGTAATCTTTTTAATATATAATAATAACCATACATATATTTATATTATTATAAAAAAAATTTAATTAATAATGCAATTCCAAATTAAATATACTTTACTATAATATAGTTTTTGAAAAATATTTAATTTTAATTTTATCATATATATAATAATAAATATTTTATTTTTTTAAAGAAACAAACTTTATTTAAAATTTTTTTAATTTTATATTTATTTGATTTAATCTTTATTTTCTACTTAATTTGTTTAATAAAATTATTTCTAATTATTATTATTATTTTAATGTTTTTTTTAAATTAATTAAGATAAGTATTTTAATAATTTTGTATATTTCTAATGATATAAAAAATATTTTTGTAATATAAATTATTATTAAATTGCTAAATAATAAAATATTATAATTAATATTAAAAAAATATTATATTAAAATATTATTAATAAATATATAATTAATTTAATAATATTTTAATTATTAAAATTTATAAATTACAACTCAATTATTAAAATATTATAAATTTATTAAAAGCTAATATAGTTTTCCAAAAAAATATATAGAAATTAACAAATTATTAATATAATTATATAATAATTAATATTTTCAATTATAAAAAAAACTGATCTATAAAAAAATTATAATATAACTATCTATTCAAAATTAACTAAAATTGTTTTTAATATAATTATATTACTAAAAAAGATAATAAATAAAATAAATTTTAAAAATAATAAAAATTTGATTTTTTCTATAACAATAATTAACAATATAATAATAATATTTATAGAAATGAATTTTTCTTATAAAATAATCTAAGCCAGTAAACCAGTTAGTATCAACATAAGAACTTTTTTTAAAATAATCAAAAAAATCTTTTTTATAATTTTAAATATTAAGTTTTTATTTTTATATTAATAATTAATTTTTATAATAAGAAAAACAACAGTTCAAAAAAAATATATTAAAAAAACAAGAAATCAGACAAATTAACAAAGAAACAATTTTTATTTTTTAAAATATATAAATATATTGTTTATAAAAATTTTTTATTA